GTTAAGCGGCTGCCTTCGGCTCAGGTCATGATCCTGGAGTCCCGGGATCGAGTCCTGCATCAGGCTCTCTGCTTAGCAGGGAGTCTGCTTCTTCCTCTGACCCTCTTCCCTCTCGTGCTCTCTGTCTCTCATTCTCTCTCTCAAATAAATAAATAAAATCTTTAAAAAAAAAAAAAAAGAAAAGGGGACACCTATGTGTGGTTATTAGACCACGTGCTTGTGAGTCATGAGTGAACCAGCTGCTAAAAAGGATCTGCGTGAGGCCCAGACAGCATCTGTTTCAATGGGTCCATTTTTGGTGTGTTGGATTTGAGGTGGCGAAGAAGTAAGGTATTGGTATATGACCAGTGGGAAATGGGAGCTACAAGATGGGAGTTCATGTAGAATAGAGCTAGCTATGCAGAGACTGGAGTGAGGGACTCTGGCACACAGATGATAGTTTCAGCAAGAAAGAATGAGCTCTTTGAGGGCCATGGAGAGAGAGAGGGGAGTAAGCCTTTATAAAGTAAGTTGGTTCTACCCTAGAGGGAAGGTAGGTGGGAGAAGAGGAATTAATGAATAGAACAAAGCAGAGATCAGTAGAAAGGTATGTTAGTGTGGTAGTTGAACTTCTATTATCACTGGAAGTCAAGGGAAGAAGACATTGAAGAAGAATGAGCATGGAGAAAAAGTTGAGGTGTTTTGTTTTTATTTTTTGTTAGTTCAGTTGTTGGTGAGGGAACAACTTCACAGCAGAACTGGCTTAGAAACCACGTGGTAAGAGCTAGTAATGCTTTCCATACTTAATGCCATTCCATTCTGGTTCTTAACTCCTCTAGGGCACTTCCTGCTTCAGTTGATCTGTGCTCATTCTTGCTTGTCCTAAGATTACTCTATGTTCTGGTTACCTAATGTTGCCTAACAGATTACCCCAAGACTTAGCAGCACGAGACACCCTTTGTTATGTTCATGGGTTCTGTGGGTTAGGAATTTGGATAGAGCACAGCTTGTCTCTGTTCCATGATGTCTGGGGGTGCCGCTGGAAGACTCAAAAGCAGGCACCCAGAATCATCTGCAGGATTCTTCACTCACATATCTGACAGTCGATGCTGGCTATTGACTGAGGGCCTCAGTTTCTCTCCTGGTGGTCTAGATTGGGTTTTTCCTGCATGGTGGCTGGGTTACTGAAAGAAAGAAGCAGGCATGAACTGTATTCTTTTTATGACCTCACCTTTTTTAATGATCTACATTGTTCTTCCTGTACCCCATTGGTCAGTGGAGTCACAGCCCTAGCCAGACTCAAGGGGAGGGAACATGACCTTACCCTGGGGTCTGTAAAATGACAGAAGAGCAGGGAGGGGAGGGGCACTCATCTTTGGAAAATGCCATCTGCTATACTCTGCAAAGCTCTCCATTTACTTCTTATGACTGGCCCCTTTATTCAACAACCGTCAATAATAATAGCAATGGAAGGAACTACCTGAGGCTTAGAGAGGTAAGTGTGCCAGCCCAGAGGACTCAGCAAGAGCTCTGCTGTCACATGGACCCAGGGCTTCTGGGTTGATGCTACTTTTATTAAGAACTGGATGCCTCTGGGCGCCTGGGTGGCTCAGTCGTTAAGCGTCTGCCTTCAGCTCAGGTCATGATCCCAGGGTCCTGGGATCGAGCCCCACATCGGGCTCCCTGCTC